GGATCATTACTTCTAATAGAGATGTCAAGTTTTAGAGTCACTTATGAAGGATCTTATGGGAAAACTTGGTATTAAGCTTCAATTCAGCTTAACAACTCATCCACGGATGGATGGCAAAAGAGGTGATGAACACGAGTCTTGGAAAACTCTTGAAGTGATTAATAGAGAAGAACATCAAGCTGTGGGATCTGAGACTAGCCCAAGCTGAATTTGCTTACAATCGGTCCATGAGTAAGACTATATGGCATACTCCTTTTGAGATTATCTATGGGAGCAATCCACACACTCCACTGGTGTTGGTATCGCTTCTTCCTACTTCAGAAGTTAGTGTGGATGCTGAGGCAAGGGTACAAGAGATTCAAAGGCTACTCGAAGATGTTGGGAAAGAGATTATCAAGTAGAACCACAAGTACCGGCACAAGGTAATAAAATCAAGGAGAAAGTGACTTTTTCAGAAGAGAGATATAGTGTGAATCACGTTGAAGAATGTGAGATTTATCTTGGGATCTTTTAGGAAACTGAAACCTAAAGAAGATAAACTTTTCAGGATCCTCAAGAAGCTGAGTGACAATAGCTATAGGATTGACGTACCAGGAGATTACAACATTTTCTAATACCTTCAACTTGGTAAACTTGATTCCATACATGAGGAGACGGAAGCTTCAACGAATGAGGTCGAAGTTCCCCCAACCTCAGGAGACTGATGCGTCCGTCTCAACGTTCTAGACGGGATGCGGGAATAACTTGCGGTTTGGACTAATTCAAAAGAGAAGTTGGAAGGGCTGGTCGACGCTCATTTGGCTTAGGGTAGTATTATATATTATTTTATTTTATTTTTAGGCTAGTATTTTGATTGCGTGTTTGTTCGGGATAGCTGCCGACGACTCTGGTTTTCTGTTCTAGGGTTGTGTCCAAGGGTTGAGTGGTGCTTCGACTGTATTTCGCTCCTTAGGTGGTGATTGTCCTCATCTAATCTTCCTCTGCATCCCTCTCTGTGCTGCTGCAGTTGCCTTCCCTGTTGCAACCGCCCAAAATAACAGCTCCTTTTTTGTATGCTGCAGATGCCATCTTTCCCAGCCACCCCATGCTTTCCACAGCAGCTGTTCGGCTTGCCCTTCCTAGCTGTTACCCCCAAACAGCAAGCTTCTGCTGTTTGGCCTGCTGTTCTTTATTGTCCACCCTCCTACCTTGCCGCTGCCGCCCAAAACAGCAAGGTGCCGCTGTTTGTCTTGTTGTTTACCTGCTGCTCTTGCTCTTCTGCTTGCTGCCACTCAGGACAGTAAGCCACAACCATGGTGTCGCTGTTTTCCCGCAGTCCAGCTCTCTCCCTACCTTGTGGCCACCTTTCCAAAACCCTAACAGCCACCACTACCATCTTAGGTTCACCCTGGTTACGTGTTATGTGTCGTGTTCTTTTTATTTCATGTTTCAGTATGCTGGTTGTAGTTTTCTGTTTGATTTCAGTAATAGTATTTGCTCTTTCCTTAATTATTATTCTCCGTAATAGGTTTGCTTCTGCCTTGCCTTGTCATGGAAATTAGATGACTAAGGTGATGCACAAAAAGGATTTCAGTTTCCTCATACTAAATCATTTCCTTTAGCAACTGCCTCCACTTTCTATTACAGTTCCAATGAAAATTTTGATACAACAACAACAAAACCTTTATCCCACTAAGCGGGGTCGGCTACATGAATCCTTTTTCTCCCATTGCATCCTATTTAGTGTTTGCATCCTATTTAGTGTTATATTTTCATTTAAATCTAATAAATTAAGATCATTTTTTATACAATATTTCCAAGTATTCCTAGGTCTACCTCTTTCTTTCTTAATATATGTCAAATCTAAAACATATACTCTTCTAATTGGATCATCAGATGGTCGACGTTTAATGTGACCAAACCATCTAAGACGACTCTCTAATTTTGTCCGTCACTGGAGCTACACCAACCATATTACGGTATATTTATTTAGCATTTTGTCTCTAAGTGTAAAGCCACTCATCCACCTTATCATTCTCATCTCGACAACACTTAACATAGTTTTATGCTTCTCTTTTATAGGCCAACATTCAGCGCCATAGAGCATTGCAGGTCTCACCACCGTCTTATAAAATTTTCCTTTCAATCTAGGCAGTACTTTTCTATCACACAATAGGCTCGAAGCATTCCTCCACTTCAACCAACCAATTTGAATTCTACTAATAACTTCCCCATCAATATCACCATCACTTTGAACAAGACTCGAGATATCTAAAGCGTTCACACCTTTTAATAATTTGATCACCAATAGTTACATTTCTGTCACTAGAGCTACTACTACTAAAATTACATTCCATGTATTCGGTTTTAGTTCTACTCAAACGAAGGCCTTTAGACTCCAAAGTATACCTCCATAATTCAAGTTTTTCCTGAGTTTTTTCTCTCGTCTTATCCACAAGAAGGATATCATTAGCAAAAAGCGTACACCAAGGTACATCCTCTTGTAAGTGTCAAATAAGACCATCCATAACTAAAACAAAATGATATGGGCTTAAAGTTGATCCTTGATGTAAACCAATAGAAATAGGAAAATATTTGGTCAATCCTCCTGTT